TCTGAATAAATGATATGTGAAAGTAATGTCATCTATTATTATGTAAATAAATATATTATTAAGAGTACATATTTTATAATTTAATTTCAGGTCAAATTTTCACTATTACTTATTTCTTTAAATATAAACTATAAAAAAAATTTATTCATATTTCTAGTTTAAAGTAATTATATAATAATATTCAATTTATAATCTTGAAACAATTTAATTTGAAGTTTATTATAGTATTTTTATTATTATTTTTATATTATAAAATATTATCATTTGCAAAAAATATTTAATATTATAAGATAAAAAAAAATAGAAAGTTGAGAAATCATGTATTTATAGTTTAAAAGAAGAAATATATAATCAAAATATGATATGGTATATAAGATTATAAGCAAAAATTAGGTTATTTTTACCTTATTTAATAATTATATTCTTGTTTATCATCTATATTAAGTCTACTTTCTTTATCTTCTAATATGTTTTGTTTGATTTTACAAAAACTATACTCTTTTTTATAATCAGATGAATCCAAACGTACTCCAAAGTATTTCACTATTAGGAAATCATCAAAGTATTTGCTATTAGAATCTTAGATAATTTCTGATCTTTTGTATAAATGTTATGCAACTCTTTACATAGCTTCTTGAGCTAATTACTTAGAGACAAAACTGTAACATTTTATTAAATCCTTACTAGCTTTATAAAGAAAGCAAAATATCTTTAAGATCTAGATTAAAGTTTTTTTATCTGAAAGTTAAAAAAGTATAAATTTTTCAGTTCACTTTATCATATAAATAAAGACAGTCTCATTACTGTAACTTTGACTTAAAAGATCAAAGTTTGGCTTTAGAGGTTAACATATTTAATTGTTTATAAAAAGTTAAGTAAACACAAGAAATATATGATTTTTTTGACTTCATGATCCTCTTACAGTCTCTAACGAAAAGAATGGTAGTGAAAGACTGCATTTATTTTAGGCTGCAGTTTCACCACTTTCCAGATTTAGGCATTTATTTATATGTACAAATCAAATATTGGAATCTGAATTAAAAAGGTAAGTTAAAAAAAATAAGGTTTGTTATTTGTTTTTATTTTGATTTCCTTTCTGAAACTATGCC